GGGTGTGGAGGGAGGGAAGTGTGTGTGTGTGTGTGTGTGTGTGTGTGGGGGGGGGGTGCTCTGCCATGAGGAAGTTCAGCTTAAAAACACGTCCCAGAGGTGTTTCTGGTCCCAGAGGTGTTTCTGGTCCCAAAAGGTGTTTCTGGTCCCCACCTGTTGTTTTGCTCCTCAGCATGGCTTCATAAAAACACTGCAGGATTTCTCAAACATGATGAATGAGTCAGAGCAAGGCTTTGGACATGTTTTTATGAGAGGATAACATTATAACATGGTATAAAACTCACAAAAGTTGATTTTACATGATATTGCCCCTTTAAGAACAAATCTGTTGGTACCAACAGTTCTTACTAGGGTTGGGCATAATCGTATCGTGTGTGATTAATCGTCAGAAAAACATTAATCGATTACTTTTTGGCACTTGACGATTAATACAATTAATGCCACCAGGCAGACTTACGGGTTTACTCCGTTTAGTCTACTCAGTGCTCCTCTACGCTTCAAATATGACGAACATTAAAAATAAAGTTCTGTAATTTATTTATCAACACAATTTAAAATATGATGTACACCTTGAAATCTGTAATTTTCACACAATTTGGAACAATTTTTTACAAAGATCAAATCTTTCCCACTAAATTGGTCATGTCACTACAAAATAAAGGTGTCCAGGGACTCCAGGGGATTAATCGTCAAATTAATCATTATCGGCTAAACACCACAATTAATCATGATTCATTTTTTTGCCAATATTGCCCAACCCTAGTTCTTACATGAGGTCCATTGTTTCTGTAGAACTTATTGTTTGTATTATCAGAGCCTAAAGACCTCAGATGTAACGTGTGTGTGTGTGTGTGTGTGTGTGTGCGTGCGTGGTCCTGCTGCAGGGTCATCGCTGTCTGGAGTGTGGCGACAGCTTCGTCCTGGAGCAGAGTCTGTCTCAGCACTACGACCGGCGCTCGCTGAGGATCGAGGTGACCTGTAATCACTGCGCCAAGCGTCTGGCCTTCTTCAACAAGTGCAGCTTGCTGCTGCACGCCAGAGAGCACAAAGAGAAGGGCCTGATCATGCAGTGCTCCCACCTGGTCATGAAACCTGTTCCTGTCCAGCAGATGATCAGCCAGCAGGAAACCGCAGCAGCCGGTGAATTATTACAGTGTTTAATTACTTTATACAGGTTTTAATGTTTACTGAGTCTGCTTTCTTCATCTCTTTGTCTGCTGACTTTTCAGCATCATCATCATCATCATCAGTTCAGTCCAGTTTCAAAGCTCAGTGTCATCAAGCAGCAGCTCCTGAGGCCGTGCAGTTCTGCAGCTTCAAATGTCCCGAGTGTCAGGCTCAGTGCAGCAGCAGAGAGGAGCTTTATGACCATTTTCAAGAAATAAAACCAGCTCACAGCACTGTGAGTACTGTGTGTGTGTGTGTGTGTGTGTGTGTGTGTGTGTGTGTGTGTGTGTGTGTG